GTGGATAAGTCCGGGACTCCTTTCGTAGGATTCGCATCATCTGATTGGCGGTTTTACTTCGAACTCCCAGAGGAGCTGAGAGCCCATGGGTGGGGTGGGGGGGGGGGGGGGGGGAGATGTACCTACACCACACCAGGGACGAGCAAACAGCAGCGTCCAGCCCAATTTGCATCCCCCGGCAGAGGCAGGCAAATATTGAATATCCCCTCCTGTCACCAGAGACAAAGAGTATTCTCTTTCTCGACCTGTTGTAGAAGTGCACGGGATTCTGGGAGAAAAAAAAAAAGTGTGAGAATCCCAGACAATCGAAGCTTGGCAAGAACTTTCATTCACACTGATAAATAATTGCCATTGTACGTTCATCAGCGCGCTTATTAAAATATAACGTCTTATGTAACCGTTTCTTTTTCCCTGCCTTTTTTTTCTTTTGGAATCTTTTCTTTCTATCCGTTTATGTGTGTGCGTGTGTGTGTGTGTGCATGTTATTGCATGGCAAAGATTTTTAATACATTTTGCTTTTTAAAGCAGCGGGCCCCCTCTAACACCTCCCCCCCCCCATATTTTTCTTACAGGACAAGATGGAGTGTGAAGAGGATTTTCGGGGCGTGGTTTCAGGTACGAGAGCCAGGCATCGCGTGTGGCCCGTGTGGGTTTTTTTCTTGTTTCCTCTCCCGACGCCACGAGACGCATGGTAAGCCTTGTTTTTGCGCCCTCCTTGCCTGGCCACTCACGGATCGCTCCGCCCCAGGTCTGGACGGCAGCCAGCCACCAGGAGAGGAGGATCAGATGGCGCTGGCGGATAAGGGCCGGCCGGACGCGGCGGAGCTGCCGAGCAGCCAGGCGACTTGGCCCCGGGGGCTGGCCTGCTCCCTGTGCAAGCGGCTGTTCGGCAGCCTGGGGCAGCTGAAGGAGCACGAGTATGGGCACACCCTGTCCCTCGTGGCCCTGTCCCTGGACTGCTTTGACGTGCGGCGCCCCCTGGTGACCGCCGAGCCGCCCGCCCGCTACCTGTGCTCGCAGTGCCCGGCAAGCTTCACCCTCAAGTCCAACGCCGACCGGCACGAGAAGACCATCCACTTCAAGAAGAAGACGATGCGCTGCATCTCATGCCTGAAGCATTTCCGCGACCGGACCGACCTGAACCGGCACCTGTCGTCCGTTCATTCCAGCGAGCGCGTGTTTGCCTGCCCCGTCTGTGCCAAGGCCTTCAGCACCCAGAAGAACCTTGCCACCCATACCAAGGGGTGCTGCCAGTCCCGACCCATGGCCGGGCATCTCTGGGACATGCAGCTGCTGAAGACGGAGGGGCCCGGCCCAGCTCAGGCCCATGATTGATGCCCCCCCCCCAGCACTCGACCTGTCTGCTGTGGTCTTTCCCGGTGCCGGTTCCTAGAAACCTAACCGTCGCTCTTGTCAGGAATGTCCATTTTAATATATGCAAAGCACTGTTATCATTTCGTACAAAGAATGTATTATTTGTATATTTTGTATTTCGAATTAAAGACTCTATTTCTGGACTTGACATTTTATATTTTTGGTCCTCTTTAATATTTGACAAGAGCAATCACTATGCATATCAGTGGGGGGGGGGGCGGTTAAAACCAATCTATTTTTGATCAGGTTCAACTGTGCGATTCTTGTTCACGCATAATCACATCGGTTGTGTGCGCTCACTACGTCTCCGGATGCTGGTCCGTCCACCGTGTGGCGTGAGCGATCACCATCCCAAACCCCCCCACCCAGAAACCTGCACTCCAGGGGTCCGTAACAGAAACCCAAGAGTCCCGTGACACCCCCCCCCCCACAGTAGCCTTACTCCATTCCCCATTTTCATCTTTTTGTTCTGTTTGTTCGATGGAAGAGGGTTGCGCATTGCAGCGTTCGCTGTCCTCGATGCCTTTGTCTGAGCCACACTGAATAATTACGGTAATTGGCTTGTGAGGCCCCGACCTCGTTTGACCTGTGACCTCAGATAAAGGAGAAGGCGGGGAGCCGAGGGCCCAGTGGGCGGGGCTGAGGGAAGTGACCTCTTTTGAACTGTTAGGTGACCTCATGCTGATGTCGGTGGGGGGGGCTGAGCTAAGTTGGCCTGGATGATTTTAGATGGTTAAAGGTGCTTCCTTCAGCATCTCTATCTGCTTTGTTTGGGTGTGAAGTCCGAAATTCGCCGGTCGGATATGAATGACTGTCATACAGGAAGCTGAATTGGAATCCTGAGTTTGCTGCCAATCGGAAACGAGGGCCTCGCAGTCGCCGCAGTCGCCGTGTCCCGTCAGAGCCACAGACAGAGAGGGGCTCGCAGTCGCCGCAGTCGCCGTGTCCCGTCAGAGCCACACACAGAGAGGGGCTCGCAGTCGCTGCAGTCGCCGTGTCCCGTCAGAGCCACACACAGAATATTTAATTTAATTTAATCAGCCAAATAGGAGGAAGCAGAATGCAAAAATTGCTGGCCCCTCCCGCCCCAAAAATAGAGACCCATACCCCCTTCCGGTGATCCCAGCGTACCCTGTTGCTTATTAGGGCACATTAGAGTGCTTCTCCCAAATCTTCTCCATGAAAAATGAGACTCTCGCCGTCGTCGTGGAGTCTTTTTAGGTCGCACGCTTGTGACTCGTGTGAAGGCGTACGCCGGGTCCTCGGGGCAACACGCCCAGAAAGTTGCCGTCTTCAGAGCCACGGGAACGTTAGCACGTTAGCATATGATACACTACCTCTCTTACGGGAAAAATAAGCGAAAAGACTCATCCCTGCTGCAATGTCGCTCGACTCTGAGCCGATTGGAAATTACATGCATTTATTTTTATGTTTTGACTTTTCCTTTTGTTTTCTTTGTGGCAGTAGCATGTATCATCTTAGCAAACAGTAGCTAACAGCCTGTAGAGTGGGGCTTCCCTTCCGTTCCTGCTTCTTCATCCCTGGTTCAACTTTTACTGCCATCGAACTGCTGGTCTGACTCGTTCGCTGAGAGTTACTCTCCTGATGCCCAGAGCTGGTGTCTGGCTGAAGGCTGGTTGGCGCTTGATGCCCATGCCAGGTTGATGTGGTTGGGTTTGAGCCTTAGCACCAGGCCCGACTAACATGCCTTTTAGCATGTGAACATGTGTGTGTCTGTGTCTGCGTATGAGTCACCTACGGCCACCTCTTCAGGGTTCTGCCGTGGGTGACTTTCGGCCGATTTTCCTGACCTTAGCCCTGCCTTACTCACCGGGAGGCCGTGGGTAAAATAGTAACATGGTAACCGCCTGCCTAGCCTGGTGAGTCAGAGTGCGAGTCAGAGTCTGGAGTCACAGCTGTGCCTCAGAACGAGGTGTGGATTTCGTTAAAAAAAAAAAAAAAAAAAAAAAGGCGGTGGCTTGTTTGTCCTGCGCGAATGCAAACTCTGCTGGAAGGAAATTGCTAATGCAAAAACAAAAAAAACTTGCCCTCAGGAAATAGATCCATTTTTATGTTTCCTCACTTGTACTTCTCTAGTGAAAGCAAATAAAATGAATATAGATTGTTTCATATGAAGACATTTAGCAGCACATTACTGATAATATTTATGATGGGACAGCGATGCATCTGTGTGATTTTTGTATATTCTAAAAGTACATACTATTTTATAAAGCATAGTCTTTGCTTGATGTTCAGAATGATCTAGAAGACAATGTATTTTTTTAAAGTATGTGTTTCATTCTGTAGTTTCTGTATTCAAATAAACTGGCAAACAAACGGTTAAAGAACGCTGACCTTGGCTTGTCGTTTTTTTTTTTTTTTCATTCACCAACCAGACCAAAAGTGACTTGCTTTACTGTTGCCGTGACGTGAACTTCCTTAGAAACGGGTGGGGCGGGGGGGAGCAGTCGTAGGCTCGGGCAGATTTAACAGAATTAGCTCCACCTTCTGGACGCGGGATTACAGGGCGTCTGTCCCAGAAGCAGAGGAATCACCGGGGTGACATTTTCCGGGGTAGGAAGAAAAAAAAGAGACTCGCGTGAGCATGAAAGGTGCAGAGATCTGAGAGGCCGGGCCTTCTGTCGCCCTGCCACACAGAGGGCTTTGCACTCGGGGCCACGGTGAGAACAGCGGGCTTGACCTTCTTTACGGCGTCTTAACTCTGTGCAGGTCTAGACCAGAGGATAATTGGCTTAAGAGTCTGTAAATAAACAAACGAAAAACAGGGCTTCCACTCGGACATTTCACACCGACCCTGCACTAACTGACATTCCTGCTATACTGATCTGCGGCGCCCAGGTTCTGACAGCAGCGGTAGGTGGACAGTTCGACCCCTGAGGATTAAGCTCACTCTCTTTGTGTTTTCTCACACCCACACCCCCCCCCCCTCCCCGCAGTGAACGATTTCACCGTCATCAGGAAGAAGTTCAAATGTCCGTACTGCAGCTTCTCTGCCATGCACCAGTGCATCCTGAAGAGGCACATGCGCTCCCACACCGGCGAGAGGCCGTACCCCTGCGAGATCTGCGGCAAGAAGTTCACCCGCCGTGAGCACATGAAGAGACACACGCTGGTAGGTGCAGTGCAGCAAGGTGCCACTAGAGGGCAGCAGAGAGCACTCCCACGATAACCATGCCTGTTAATGCCATGATGACTCTGTTTACTGGTCCTCAGAGGAGACAACATAGGCACATAGCTACACTTCTGAGATTCCAGTTCAGTGTGTGGACATTTCCTGTGGTACAAACAGAAAAATGTGCTTTGGTTTGTAAAAGATTAAAGGCACAAAAGGTGTCACCCTACAGCTTTGTGGGAGACGACACACTCAGGTGGGCGTGATTTTGCCAAAACGTGACCAGATGGGCTCCGCGGAGGATCTGGCATATCAGGGTCCTTGCAAACACAGCAGCACTGGCCGCTTGAAGGATAAACCTGTCCTGCAGCAGTCATGCAGGCTTCCCAGTGAGCCATACTGACTTCCCAGCGTCTTCCCCCAATATGCCATTGCATCGGGACACCAGGTCGACTTCCTCTGTGACACTCCGTGGTTCCTGTATAGCCCCCCGCCCCCCCCTCTTGCCCCAAGCCGCATCTATGTCACTCACACCGAGCCGTTAACTGGCGAAAGCGGTCGCCGTACACACCGAGCCCCGGTAATGAGGGGCCCCAGCGCGCGTTACTAACGGCAGGACTCTCCCGGGGTGTCGCGAGATAGGCTTAATGGGGCTGCAGAAAAATATCCCGGGATGGATTTTAATTATTCCAGTTTTATTTTATTTCTGGAAGATTGGAGATGGCTCCTATAATTGCCTCTCTGCGTGATTATTTCCTATTTTTGAGTACATTTCTCTTTTGACCAGCCAGGCAGGTGCGTGGACGACTAAATCATATTCACGCGGATTCCCGAGCTGACTCAGCCCGTTATTCCCCTCCGGCATCAGGAGTGCGTTTGTGTAGCCTATCTGTCTCTGTGAGGAAAATAAACATTTTAAAAGTGACAATGTGAGGACATACCAAAGCGAAAATAGCCCTACCTTTAAATGTCACCCCGCATAGAAAACTGAAAGTGTCGACACATTTTGTTAGTTATCAGTTTTTATAACACATGTATAATGTGTGTATGTACATTCTGCGCACATGAACATACAAATGGATATTGTGGGGATATCCCCAAGAAAAAAACGTCTTTTTAAATGTTAGCTTAAAAAAAGTGTCAAAACATTTTCTTTGTTGTCAGTTTTCATAACAGTCCTGTGTTCACGTATGTGTACATTTCGCGTATATGGAAGTGGATATTGTGGTGACATCCCCAAGAAACATAGGGGCATCCCAAAGAAAAAAACGGGAAGTACCAATACATTATATTTACTAACTTCATGTGTACGCGTCTCCACAACAAAAAACGAACCTAGAAAATGGTTGGCATTGTGATAACTTCCCCAAGAACATCTTTATAAATATGAAAACGTTTCGTTTATCAGCTTTGTGAGTGGATGCATGTTTATGCATGTTGGTGTTCAGGGTTGCCAACTCTCACGCATCCGGCGTGACACACACGGCACAGGCAAGAAATCTTACGGCAAATCTATATTACTCAATTATAAGCCTAAAATTAAATACACCAAAAGCGTTGGGTAGTTTACAAACCCTATTGAGTATTTAAAAGGTAATAAAACTGTTACATGTAAATGTGCATATGTGTGCAGATTTGTTTCGAATTGAAAATGTCACGCCAGCCAGCTGACCGAAGTTGGCAACCTTAGGTGTGTCTGTCTGTCCGTCCTCAGATTAGGTATGTTGATACTTTATCAATCGCAAAGAAAACCACATGTTCACAGCAGCACAACACATCATTTAAACAGTAAAAACATTTATAGTTCAATACACAATAAGAATACATAGTATATGACAATGAAGAGTAATAGGGCAAATAATTTAAGGGAAAGTAGGCTATTGCACGGAATTCAATAGTAACGGCTCATGAATAAATATTACTACACAATGGGTTGTAAACTGAGCGAATATTTGTGTCGTGTCCCCCCACCCTGCCAGGTGCACAGTAAGGACAAGAAGTACGTGTGCAAGGTGTGCAGCCGCGTATTCATGTCGGCCGCTAGTGTTGGCATCAAGCACGGCTCCCGTCGCCACGGCGTCTGCGCAGACTGCTCCGGGCGGGGCATGGCCGCCCTGCTGGACCAGAGCGGCGACGGGGGCGAGGAGGGTTCCCCCGAGGAGGACCTGTACCCCGGAGATCACCGCTTTCCGGACGACCCCACCGACGGCGACGAGGAAATGCTGGCCGACGGGGAGATGATGGGGGACGTGGACGGGGACGAGGATGGCAGCAAGTGGAAGAACCACTCAGGAATGTCTCACCGGGACGCCATGTTAGACAATGACAAGGAGGAGAGCGATTCGGCACAGGAAGGGGAGAACCACGCTGGTAGTGACAAAGATTTCACCTGGATCTCTTAGTCCAGCTCTTATTTTTGGGTGGAATCTCAAATTCGTATGATGAGAGCCCCAGGGCTAAGGAGAAGACCCCACAACGTTAGAGACCACGCCAGGTGCGACATCTCATCTGCGTCGGTGGAGATGCTGGCTACTTTCAGTTCGTTTCGTTTCTGTTTTTTTTTCCGAAGACGTGTTCCGTGGAGAGTCAGATAGGTGATGCTGGGCGTCGCTCCGGCATTTCGCGTCACGCCGGCCCCGGAGGCTTTTCACGTGTCTTCTGTGAGCGCTGGGCTCCGCCGTCGACGGTCGCGTAGTGATGACGCTTTTACTTTTTCAAACGAGACGCGCGCCGCCCGGCGGCCGTGCCGCAAGCCGTCCCCCGTCACGAGGGTGTGTTTCTATTGCAAAACTGTAGGTGTCTGGTAATTTTCAGCAGTTTTACGCACGTTGTCTTGCTGAAAACTGCCCCAGATTTGCACTTTAACGTCAAACAGATTCCTATCAGTTCCTAGATTCCGTGGTTTACAATTTATTTTAATTTACACTGAGGACTAGGTTACCACGCCAACCTTAAGGATATATGTCCTAATGACTGTTATCTATATTTCTGCAGATTTGCCTTTTTAAACGTTTTTTTCTTCTGCCAGAATCTGCCAGATTTCGCGGTTCTATTAATTGCTATTAAGGAACGTGGAAAATACATCTGTAAATACAAATATTATGCAGTGAAGATCAGCGATGACAAACATGAGGAGTTTTTTTTTTGCTCCTAAGATGGCATGATGTGTACCAGGGGAAAAGAGAGGGAAAAGTGAGAGAGACAGAAAGAGAGATGGGGAGATCTGAGAGCAGTAATACCCATGCACTCCTTCCTTCTGTGGCCATTGGTCATTAGATGGAAGATGATGGCTGCTTTTAATCTGTTTGTTTTGTTTTCCAGACGGACCACAGTCTCCTTCCCGATGAAGGGGGAGGGTAAGGAAATACTTAATATGCCTTTAACCTCTCACACTCCACCCTTTTTTTAACGGGGGAGGGAGGGGAAGGGGCCAGATCAGCTGCGGTCCCCCAGAGATCGCTGGCTCACAGAAATGTGGGCGCCAGGTCCCGTTTTCTGTGGAGACTCGTTTAATTATCGCTCAGCCGTTCTTCCTGTCTCTCTTCCGTTCACTCTTCTGGGGGTGTTTCGGTGTTCCTCGGTGAAGAACGCAAATGTTCATGGACCTACTATTTTTTACTCACTTAATTTTCATATTTACGTTTGTTGTTCAGATATGCACCTGTTTATGTATTTTTATGGGGGGGGGGAAAGCTGTCTCATTTTATTTCCGAGTGAAACCTTTACTGATGTCTTTTCTCTTAAAAAAAGTCACAAAACATAAACAAAAACAGAAAAAACAAGCTGCTTTGCTTGAAATGTAATACATTAAGTGGGCTGTTAAAGTGACTTTTGATTTTATTCCAGGGCTTATTTATTGAACGTTGTTTTAAATGGAATAACTGTTTTTTAATGAGACATTCCTTCCTCTCAGTTCAGTCAGTCCTAAAGGCACAAATGGTTATTGTTGTGTAGTTTATTTTTTATTTTTGAGATCACTTCTCTGTTTGTGCCAGGATATTTGACCTTGGGAGTGAGACCGGTCTGATTTATTAAGTGCTGGATGCTAAGCTTTATTACGTGTTTCATTTTAATATTTTCTATCTGTAAAAAGAAAGCTTTTATACTTCGCCTTTGTTGTGGACAGCAAAGCCGCGTGGCTTTCAAACTTTTTAATTGTGCCAGTTCTATGCTTTTTTGTTGTAATTATTTTTTGTATTTGTATTTGTATTTGTTTTGCAAAGAAAGGATTTTTTTGAAATGCTAATTTATTGGTTATGTATTGTCGGAAAGATATATGCTTTTACCGCACATGCTTCTATATTACTAACATACACTAAATAATGAATATTATACCAAAAATAACTAACATACGTTGTATACATTAAGTGCTTTTGTTTGACCAGATGGTGTGCAGGTTCAAAGCTTTGAAATTCGTTTTGCTTTGCTTTCCGGTTTTAGACAGTTCAAGTTATACGCGTTACGCATGCGTTAAGGTGAGAATTGCGCGCGGAGAGGGGTTCATATGAGCGACTGTTGTTTCGGATTGCGTTTTTTATTTCGCGAGGAGGGCGAGGATTTCAGAGTGGTGGAGCGAGGCTAGTGTTGTGTCAAGCACAAACCGAACCGGATAAGTAGACGCGATCCTGGCCTTATCGCCGCGGGCCCCACTGACGAGCTCCTGTGCCGCCCTGCCTGGTCAATGTGAAACTCGGATCCTCAGTCTTAATACATATTTACACTCGGCACTGGGATTTTTTTTTTTTTTTAAACAAAAAAAACTATTTATTGTTTATACATCGTTTATAATCAACATAAATATATCGGGGAAAACGTGACATAATTCCACAAAATGTTTTATTGCTGGTGATAAAAATATCTGAAATATATAAATTAGTGTACAGCTAGTATTTTTTATAGAAATCGTTATTAACGTTATGAATAATATAATTAGTCTACCACTGGTGCTTTGACCATCAAAAACCATGCAGAATAATGTTTCATTTACCTCTGTATAACTCGCTGTATCTAAATACCTACATGCAGACTAACTGACTAAATTACAGAGTTTTAAACTAAATGATGGAATCAGTTGTTATTCAGGAATGATTCATTCAGCCCAGTAGATGTGCCTGGATATATTCCTTAATAATATGTAAGGATTTTTCCCTATACCGAACGATATCGGACGTAGCCAATGTCAAAGTGGTGTAACTTAGATTGGTTGCTGCAAAAACATGGAAGCCGGTCAGGGGTTTGTTTACAAGACAGCGAGTCGGACTGGCTTTCCAAAGGAATACCGGGATAGCGGGCCGCAATGGCACCGCCAGGCGCGAGGAGCCGGGCCACCGCCGGCTCGCGAGGCTCCCAGTGAGCCCTTCTGTTCCTCTGTTAAACCAAAGCTCCGTTGGACCCTCTGCACACCTCTGGTTGGTCTCACATAATGCAAACTGGAACTATTTGCAATATTACAGACGGAAAGAGTATTTAATAAGAAATTAAGTTCAGTTCTTTACCCGTATAGCTTGATTCAGTACGTATGTGCAAATCATGAAGCCATAGATATGGTTGTTTCTAGATTATGCTATATATTTCAAATTCCTTCTTTTAATTTTAGATTCTGTTATTTACTAAGAGTGTTGTGTGTATACCTTCACATTATATATAAATGATTATATATAAATGATATATTATTTATTTTTTCCAAAACGTTTCAAGAATCCTTGGTTGAGAAGGATCACACTTGAAGCGATTAGAGTTCTCTGTGGGGAATACAGTTCATTATGATACTGACTTTATAACTATATCAACCTGTGTTTGCAATGAAGAAGTGTTGAATAATTGAAAACCGATTTAGTTATCGCAATTAGTGGATGAAGATAACGGTGCGTTGTACTGTTTTTTCTGTATACGTATGATAGTACTGATCATCACATTTTTTTCTAGTTGAAACATGAAACGCGTGTAGATTTGAAGGCGCACCTGTGGTGTGTCTGCGTCTCTTCTTAACTTCATGTTAGTGGGATTAGCTTGACTATTATTCGCAAAACCAATCAGTCTCAATAAATTGGAAATTGCTGCTGAAAAAAAAAAGACTCGCTCTGTTCCTCTATCAGACTGCTGCCATCCACACATCCGGCGTCACACACGTTTTTTGACTCATGATCACGCAATAAATCTAACAAATATACATTATAAACCTAAAATTAGCTGCATCAAAAGTGTTGGGGCAGTTTGTAAACCCTACATACGATTTACAAAGTAATCAAAGTTTTACATACGTGTAAATTTGGCCACCTGACCAAAGTTGGCAACCCTGAACTTCACGATCCTTTCTGAGTAACGAAAACAGACACTCAGGCCCACATACACACCAGAGCCCCCATCCGGACCCTGATTCGCGAGCTCACACCCTCCCCAAGAGTGTGTCCCCAGGTATGTTTGATAACCTCTCAACCAAATTAATTCTCTTACTCACCTCCCCAAGTCACGTGCGTCTGATCGCCATCCTACCCAGGGCAAGACTTAAGACCGGCTAGGCAATGTTACCTGCGTGCACTCAGTGACAGTGAACATTACACAAGAATAGTGAGCCTATAGAAAACCTCTTTTATAAACAAACAAACAAATAAATAAATAATGAAACCGCCAAATGCGCCCTGCTATTTGATAAAACGCTGATATTTAATTAACGCATCAAATTCCCCCAACACATGTGCACCTTAACGAGGTTAAAACCTCTGGTGATTCAGAGTGGCGGTAACGCTTCCTGGAGCAGGTCTGCCTGCCTCGACGTCGACATTTCTTTCCTAAAAATCCCCGTCCCTTCCCAGCACGCCCTTCTCGCTTACACCCCCGCCGAAGCGTGTATTGCGGCCGCCAGCTGTTCCGCAATAAGGACTTGTCAGAGGTGAATATTTCTCCGTGGTTTTGAGTCACACTTGAACGACAGACCCCCGTTACGAAAGCTTTTAACAGGTGGCAGAAAATAAACAAATAGGGAAAGAAAAAAAACAAGTAGAGTTAGTGGTGACCTTTACATTTCACTGGGGTGTCTGTGCTGGCTGTGCATATTATATGCGCATATTATACGCGCATATTATACGCGACTCCGGTTTGTCTTGACATGTCAAAAGGTGAAACTGTAGATCGCTGTTGCTTTTGGCACCCGAGTCCTTGTGGTATGTATTGCGGCATGGAAAGAGTCCCATTATGACAGGGTAACAGCGAGTGGTCTTCCTAATACATTGTGGGGAAAATGGACAGAAAACTTCGCATCGTCCCAGCAATTCAACTGCAACGTGAAAGCGATCTTATGTGATGATTTAATATGCAAAACCAGGCTCTCTTTTGACCGTACAAAGACAGACGTTATTTCAGTACCGACACCCAGCAAGATCAAACAGGCGCCAGTATTTGTTCTGCGTTTTGGTTTTCAAACACCGTTGTTCTTTCTTGTTTGTTCACTTCCCATGACCTGGAGAGACAACAGAGTATTTTCTGCAATGTGCAACCCCCGCCCCCCATAAACTGAACGAACACCGACAATTTTTTCTCCACACAAGTTTATTTAAAAACCATGTGATTATCCAATTGGAAGAGAATTCTGGTTCTACGTTTTTGGCTGTCACAAAGAAGACCCATTCGGCTCCCCCCTGTACCGATGGCCCCATCAATACAACAATACAGTCCAGTGAAACCGCGGAGTCCGTCAGGGAACCTGACAGCACGGAAGTGGTATCGGAAATGCAGACTGATCCAACGACACTCGGCCATTTGAGTACAATCACAACACGATGTCAGTTTCTCATGAGTCCGTGACTCAAACACTGACAGCACATCTCTCAGAAAAGAAACAATGTAGTAACACAAAGCACTTAAACCAGAAACGGCAGAAGCACAGATTCAAGAGTCTAGCGCTCAATGGAGCTGCCATACAAATCAATATAGGTCCATTGGTTTGCTTTTGTGTTGTTATGCATATTGAAAAACAGATAAAACATGAACCAAACGTGAACCACGTCTTCTGTTGGGTGCGCCCTGGTTTGGTTTGGTTAGCTTAATATCCTGACTGGGCTTTAGAGGGCGCCAACAGCGCGATTATGGCCGCCCGCTGCACGAGAAGAGAGAGGGGTGCAGGGGAACGCTATACGTGCGCGACTACAGACTGACGCACAGACACGTGCAACCGACCGACTGGAATGTCCGGGGCAGGACACGCGCAGCCCTTTTGGAAGCACACACAAAAAAAATCTGAATTGGTCCTGCCTATCAATAACAACAAAAACGATTCAGAGGACAGAAAAGTAATGCATTTATCATTACAGGGAACAACACGGACCAGGAGCGCCACTGCAATATATGTGCTCAGGCCAACAGAAAGGACTGACAGGGTAACAGAGCAGGATAACAGGGAGCAAAGCATGCTCGTGATTTAGATAATTAAAAACCACTTTAAAGCCAAAAATGCAGCAGAAAGTAACAAAGGCCTACAAAACATTCACAGAAACATCTGAAAGAGCAGAAACAAGATAGAAAAGTCTTCTTTTTTGATGTTTAATACATTCATCACTGTTTGTTCCACCCCATCCCAAAATATACATTGAATATTTACAAGTTATCTTCACTTTAACTTTTCAACTGCTTTAAAAAAATCTGCAAAAATCTTTAAAAGTTTCCATTTTATATTACAAAATAAGAAAAAGAAAAACAAGCAAATTGTATCACGGTTTTCTTTATCTTCGTAAGAAAACGCCAAACATACGTTTTAATTGCGAATCGTCACTGCCTCTAAACGAACCTGTTAATTTCCCCATACATGAAATCCTCTTTGGGGCGAATCTTTGTTTCAACCAACTCATCTTTCCCCTGTGTACTGATTCCCAGACACTTTTTTTTTCATTAAACAGGTTAAAAATATATATAGGATATCCGAAATGGTCTACAACACTGAAACTCCAGAGGAAACGCACAGCTTAAGGAGAAAACACCATTCCACCACACTCATGAAACCAGAGCGAAGTGTGAACGCAGCCCCTGCCAACGTTGGGACAGACCACGGCGGCAGAGCATCGCAACGCCGGCTTCAGGGAGCAGAACTGGCGTCTTGCATAAACAACTTCCTTTTATGCACAAAGCTCAATTTATGTATTAGGAACACCGTTCTAACACCAGTTTACTGCCCTAAAAAGCAGACGATAAAAATACCCAGAAAACATTTTTTTAATATAAAAAGGCAGCGACGACCGAAACTAATTTCTTCAAATGCTGTATATAAAAACTCCACATACAAAATATTTCTTTGTGCAGTACAAGTTAGTGCAATTCAATTAGTTTATATATATATATATATATATATATATATATATATATATATATATATATATATATATATATATATATATATATATATATATATATATATATATATAAACTAATTGAATTGCACTAACTTGTACTGCACAAAGAAATATTTTGTATGTGGAGTTTTTATATACAGCATTTGAAGAAATTAGTTTCGGTCGTCGCTGCCTTTTTATATTAAAAAAATGTTTTCTGGGTATTTTTATCGTCTGCTTTTTAGGGCAGTAAACTGGTGTTAGAACGGTGTTCCTAATACATAAATTGAGCTTTGTGCATAAAAGGAAGTTGTTTATGCAAGACGCCAGTTCTGCTCCCTGAAGCCGGCGTTGCGATGCTCTGCCGCCGTGGTCTGTCCCAACGTTGGCAGGGGCTGCGTTCACACTTCGCTCTGGTTTCATGAGTGTGGTGGAATGGTGTTTTCTCCTTAAGCTGTGCGTTTCCTCTGGAGTTTCAGTGTTGTAGACCATTTCGGATATCCTATATATATTTTTAACCTGTTTAATGAAAAAAAAAGTGTCTGGGAATCAGTACACAGGGGAAAGATGAGTTGGTTGAAACAAAGATTCGCCCCAAAGAGGATTTCATGTATGGGGAAATTAACAGGTTCGTTTAGAGGCAGTGACGATTCGCAATTAAAACGTATGTTTGGCGTTTTCTTACGAAGATAAAGAAAACCGTGATACAATTTGCTTGTTTTTCTTTTTCTTATTTTGTAATATAAAATGGAAACTTTTAAAGATTTTTGCAGATTTTTTTAAAGCAGTTGAAAAGTTAAAGTGAAGATAACTTGTAAATATTCAATGTATATTTTGGGATGGGGTGGAACAAACAGTGATGAATGTATTAAACATCAAAAAAGAAGACTTTTCTATCTTGTTTCTGCTCTTTCAGATGTTTCTGTGAATGTTTTGTAGGCCTTTGTTACTTTCTGCTGCATTTTTGGCTTTAAAGTGGTTTTTAATTATCTAAATCACGAGCATGCTTTGCTCCCTGTTATCCTGCTCTGTTACCCTGTCAGTCCTTTCTGTTGGCCTGAGCACATATATTGCAGTGGCGCTCCTGGTCCGTGTTGTTCCCTGTAATGATAAATGCATTACTTTTCTGTCCTCTGAATCGTTTTTGTTGTTATTGATAGGCAGGACCAATTCAGATTTTTTTTGTGTGTGCTTCCAAAAGGGCTGCGCGTGTCCTGCCCCGGACATTCCAGTCGGTCGGTTGCACGTGTCTGTGCGTCAGTCTGTAGTCGCGCACGTATAGCGTTCCCCTGCACCCCTCTCTCTTCTCGTGCAGCGGGCGGCCATAATCGCGCTGTTGGCGCCCTCTAAAGCCCAGTCAGGATATTAAGCTAACCAAACCAAACCAGGGCGCACCCAACAGAAGACGTGGTTCACGTTTGGTTCATGTTTTATCTGTTTTTCAATATGCATAACAACACAAAAGCAAACCAATGGACCTATATTGATTTGTATGGCAGCTCCATTGAGCGCTAGACTCTTGAATCTGTGCTTCTGCCGTTTCTGGTTTAAGTGCTTTGTGTTACTACATTGTTTCTTTTCTGAGAGATGTGCTGTCAGTGTTTGAGTCACGGACTCATGAGAAACTGACATCGTGTTGTGATTGTACTCAAATGGCCGAGTGTCGTTGGATCAGTCTGCATTTCCGATACCACTTCCGTGCTGTCAGGTTCCCTGACGGACTCCGCGGTTTCACTGGACTGTATTGTTGTATTGATGGGGCCATCGGTACAGGGGGGAGCCGAATGGGTCTTCTTTGTGACAGCCAAAAACGTAGAACCAGAATTCTCTTCCAATTGGATAATCACATGGTTTTTAAATAAACTTGTGTGGAGAAAAAATTGTCGGTGTTCGTTCAGTTTATGGGGGGCGGGGGTTGCACATTGCAGAAAATACTCTGTTGTCTCTCCAGGTCATGGGAAGTGAACAAACAAGAAAGAACAACGGTGTTTGAAAACCAAAACGCAGAACAAATACTGGCGCCTGTTTGATCTTGCTGGGTGTCGGTACTGAAATAACGTCTGTCTTTGTACGGTCAAAAGAGAGCCTGGTTTTGCATATTAAATCATCACATAAGATCGCTTTCACGTTGCAGTTGAATTGCTGGGACGATGCGAAGTTTTCTGTCCATTTTCCCCACAATGTATTAGGAAGACCACTCGCTGTTACCCTGTCATAATGGGACTCTTTCCATGCCGCAATACATACCACAAGGACTCGGGTGCCAAAAGCAACAGCGATCTACAGTTTCACCTTTTGACATGTCAAGACAAACCGGAGTCGCGTATAATATGCGCGTATAATATGCGCATATAATATGCACAGCCAGCACAGACACCCCAGTGAAATGTAAAGGTCACCACTAACTCTACTTGTTTTTTTTCTTTCCCTATTTGTTTATTTTCTGCCACCTGTTAAAAGCTTTCGTAACGGGGGTCTGTCGTTCAAGTGTGACTCAAAACCACGGAGAAATATTCACCTCTGACAAGTCCTTATTGCGGAACAGCTGGCGGCCGCAATACACGCTTCGGCGGGGGTGTAAGCGAGAAGGGCGTGCTGGGAAGGGACGGGGATTTTTAGGAAAGAAATGTCGACGTCGAGGCAGGCAGACCTGCTCCAGGAAGCGTTACCGCCACTCTGAATCACCAGAGGTTTTAACCTCGTTAAGGTGCACATGTGTTGGGGGAATTTGATGCGTTAATTAAATATCAGCGTTTTATCAAATAGCAGGGCGCATTTGGCGGTTTCATTATTTATTTATTTGTTTGTTTGTTTATAAAAGAGGTTTTCTATAGGCTCACTATTCTTGTGTAATGTTCACTGTCACTGAGTGCACGCAGGTAACATTGCCTAGCCGGTCTTAAGTCTTGCCCTGGGTAGGATGGCGATCAGACGCACGTGACTTGGGGAGGTGAGTAAGAGAATTAATTTGGTTGAGAGGTTATCAAACATACCTGGGGACACACTCTTGGGGAGGGTGTGAGCTCGCGAATCAGGGTCCGGATGGGGGCTCTGGTGTGTATGTGGGCCTGAGTGTCTGTTTTCGTTACTCAGAAAGGATCGTGAAGTTCAGGGTTGCCAACTTTGGTCAGGTGGCCAAATTTACACGTATGTAAAACTTTGATTACTTTGTAAATCGTATGTAGGGTTTACAAACTGCCCCAACACTTTTGATGCAGCTAATTTTAGGTTTATAATGTATATTTGTTAGATTTATTGCGTGATCATGAGTCAAAAAACGTGTGTGACGCCGGATGTGTGGATGGCAGCAGTCTGATAGAGGAACAGAGCGAGTCTTTTTTTTTTTCAGCAGCAATTTCCAATTTATTGAGACTGATTGGTTTTGCGAATAATAGTCAAGCTAATCCCACTAACATGAAGTTAAGAAGAGACGCAGACACACCACAGGTGCGCCTTCAAATCTACACGCGTTTCATGTTTCAACTAGAAAAAAATGTGATGATCAGTACTATCATACGTATACAGAAAAAACAGTACAACGCACCGTTATCTTCATCCACTAATTGCGATAACTAAATCGGTTTTCAATTATTCAACACTTCTTCATTGCAAACACAGGTTGATATAGTTATAAAGTCAGTATCATAATGAACTGTATTCCCCACAGAGAACTCTAATCGCTTCAAGTGTGATCCTTCTCAACCAAGGATTCTTGAAACGTTTTGGAAAAAATAAATAATATATCATTTATATATAATCATTTATATATAATGTGAAGGTATACACACAACACTCTTAGTAAATAACAGAATCTAAAATTAAAAGAAGGAATTTGAAATATATAGCATAATCTAGAAACAACCATATCTATGGCTTCATGATTTGCACATACGTACTGAATCAAGCTATACGGGTAAAGAACTGAACTTAATTTCTTATTAAATACTCTTTCCGTCTGTAATATTGCAAATAGTTCCAGTTTGCATTATGTGAGACCAACCAGAGGTGTGCAGAGGGTCCAACGGAGCTTTGGTTTAACAGAGGAACAGAAGGGCTCACTGGGAGCCTCGCGAGCCGGCGGTGGCCCGGCTCCTCGCGCCTGGCGGTGCCATTGCGGCCCGCTATCCCGGTATTCCTTTGGAAAGCCAGTCCGACTCGCTGTCTTGTAAACAAACCCCTGACCGGCTTCCATGTTTTTGCAGCAACCAATCTAAGTTACACCACTTTGACATTGGCTACGTCCGATATCGTTCGGTATAGGGAAAAATCCTTACATATTATTAAGGAATATATCCAGGCACATCTACTGGGCTGAATGAATCATTCCTGAATAACAACTGATTCCATCATTTAGTTTAAAACTCTGTAATTTAGTCAGTTAGTCTGCATGTAGGTATTTAGATACAGCGAGTTATACAGAGGTAAATGAAACATTATTCTGCATGGTTTTTGATGGTCAAAGCACCAGTGGTAGACTAATTATATTATTCATAACGTTAATAACGATTTCTATAAAAAATACTAGCTGTACACTAATTTATATATTTCAGATATTTTTATCACCAGCAATAAAACATTTTGTGGAATTATGTCACGTTTTCCCCGATATATTTATGTTGATTATAAACGATGTATAAACAATAAATAGTTTTTTTTGTTTAAAAAAAAAAAAAANATATATATATATATATATATATATATATATATATATATATATATATATATATGTAGCTTAGCCCATTGGCACTTGGTGAATTTTCAAAAGATGACTTGACTCGTGACACAGCCATAACACAGTTTGCTGTGTGAGCGCGTGGGGGTCTCGGGACCGGTACGGGCCCCGTTGCTGCAGCTAAATTGTTTTTTGAACCCCACCCAGCACGACTCTTTCCTTTCTCAGACAAAACAAAACGAAAAAGAGCACCGATGTCCAGATTTTGTCTTGCGGTTGTCAGCACCCATCCAGTGTTGAGACGGCGACGGGACGCCTAAGAGGTGGCGTGCCCTCTCCGCTCGGGGGGGGGCTCCAGCACCCCGGTACTCACAGCTCAGAGACCCTACAGGACAGGGAGCGACATCGGCTCACAGACACGCACACTGTTAGGCGTAAATACGGTAAATAATTACATGAGAGTAACTGAGTCATTAAACACAAGGGCTAAGCCACGTCAGAAAGCGACGGCGGCAAAGACTGAGTTAAAGCAGATACTAAACTTGGGCTGATGAGATCAAACGGCTGATTATGGTACCCGCGCATATACTGAGTCAAATATCAAACCGAGCCATGTTTATGGGAAGCAAATAATCCCTTTGACAACAATGCATAGATTTCAATGAGACAAACTCCTTAACATGTTTCTTTAACTGTATAAAAGGTGTTACAGTGCCATTAAGCAAAGGATGCCCCGTTCAGTGACAACAATTTCCAATTCCAGTCAGCGAATGGTGACAATCCCACAAAAAAAAAAAAAGTTTTTAAACGGATCACGACAAACGAAGAAATGGCCCCCGAAAAGCAGACGTTTAACAATCTCCTATAATGTTTTGCAAGAAAAAAAAATCCATTTACAATCATAATACTGCATCTGCATAATGTTACAAAAATACCATATTATCAAAAATACAGCAGTCTCTAACTTGGCTTTCCGTATCCGTATTTAGACAAACAACTACCTTGTATTTCAACGTTAAAAGTTGTCAGGACAACATTTCGTTTCCGTTCTTGTGATTATATGCCGCAACAGCCCGACGTTCAGCTTAACAGGTTTCACTACTGTACATATAGGCTACCACAAATCAAAAGCCGACTTGCAGTTACATGAAGAACTCAGTGAAAATCATGAAAAGGTGCAAATCTACATAAGAGGTATAGAAAAAGAAAAATATATATAAATTTTCCTTAAAACAGTTTTCGGGTCTGAAAGCTTAATTTTTATTTGGTGATACAGAAAGCAGAAAGATTTGAAAGCTTTGCTTTTAAAAAAATATTATTTGCTTCCCAAAAAAAAGCGAAATTTTAACTTTCTGAGTTCAGCTTTCAGGTCGGAGTTTTAATTAGCAATAACGGATTCCTGGGCGGAATGTCAAATGTTTGTCACAATTTAGGAACTCAGAATTTAAGTAGAGAATGCCTTCGACTTTTCCTTTGGTAGAAGTACGGTTGACGAAAATTATTTTAGCGAGTAATTAAAAAAATAACGTAGAAGTAATAAACTACGATTTTCACAAGGCGCTTCCCTAAAAAAGACACTTAGTTGTCTCTTTCCGTCAAAACTGTTGGTATACATCAATTCACTTATCGCGTTATCCGTCACCAACAGCATAGGAGACAGTTTGATATGGCGAGGACAACTTAATTTAAATACAAAGGTCTATTTATGGGGCGAATGAAGCCAAATTAAACCACTCACAGGTATGGGGGGCCCCAGGTGGGGAGGGCGGTGTTTTTTTTTTTTAATGTGGGGCCCCAGAAGCAGCAAATCCGCTCCTGCGGACTCATACGAGTTTGGAACTTTGTAGGATAATCACTTGAAAATTAAAAAAGCACAAACTAATATCCCAAGTCAGGGAAGCATATTCAATTCCAAATCATCTGCTGTAACTGTAGTGTGATGAGGTGTTCTTCATATCAAAATTAATTTAATTGTTAAAAAGTCCAGTTAAGAGTCTGGAAGTTTGTAATATCGAGACTTGGCTGGCAGGTATAGACCTGGAATGTCCTATTTAGGGTCGTTAAGAACCATAACATTGGTAGTGAAAACATTTATAATGAACAGTCTATGTCAGGTATCAGCCAATATGGGACTACAATTGAGCGCATATACCAACAGTTTTCAAGGTAAGAAACAGCTCAAATAATCACTCCTCTGTAGAGAGACCCTCACATATGCTTCAAGGTGTCAGACTACAAATGTAAATTCATTTCAGATCATAAATGAAAAAGTAGCTTAATTAATCAGACAACCAGGAAGAGAAGGACCTTTTTTGAATCCAAAAAGAGCTTATTGAAAATCTTCACCATTAATGTCTTTCGGTGAAGACATGAAAAATCAGAAAATCCACACCAGCAGATTGCAGATTAATCGTCTGAGTCAGGTAGGCTATTTTTTTGCGTTTACATTCCCCCAAAAATTGTCGACATGTAAAAGCAATGCTGCTCAAGCAAATATGCCATTTTTTCTCAAAGTTTTGTTTTGTTTTGTTGTTTTTTTTTTTAAACCTGTTTTTGTTTTTTTTTTGTTTTTTTGTGTATGCCTCCTGTATTCCTTGGCCAGAGAAAGGTCGCCCCCTAGTGGTGTGGCACACAAAGAGTCAGGGCGGGGGCGGGGCACTGGGGTTTCATCACGAGAAAGGTCTCCGTCTCCTCCGACAGGGGGGGGGGGGGGGGGGGGCAGAAGTGCAGGGTCACAGGGCTCTGTTGGTCTGGCCCAGCGCCTCTCTGTGGGCCCCGGAGCCCACTGCTCAGTCCGTGAAGCGCTGGCAGGCTTTCTTCCACCTGCATGCCGTGCACCACATGTCCTTCTTCTCCATGCCGTACACCTTACGGCACTTCTTGGCTTCGCCGCGTGGCTTCCTATAAGAGCCCCAGAGACATACCCAATCAGAATTGGGGGGGGCGGGGCTTCTCTGCCCACTATGACCCCAGCAGGATACTTGTAAAGCTACAAATTTTGGCCACTATCAAAATCCCCGAGGCCACCTCTCCTCAGTATGGTCTACTCAGGAGAACTCAAGCTCGCCAGGGGGCGCTCTGCCGGGAACCCGAACCTGCTTCCTGCTGAGGGCTTGGGTGCAGCGATGGCGGGGGGGTGGCTCTTCGTCACAGTGGCGTGCTGGACCGAGTGCCGCTTCTCACCGACGCCCATGGGCCGGATCGGGCCGGCCGGACCCTGGGGGATGAACACAGAGGACGTGAGCGACAGTCCCACAGAAATACCACGCTGGAACAGGTCTGGAGTTTGCACGCTGCACTTAAACATGCGAGCAGACCCCCCCTCTGCATATGTGCACACACATACACACACACACACACACACACACACACACACACACACACACAATAGAGAGGAAGACAACATATTTGTTAAAACCCGAAACCACGTCTGACAAATGACAGCACATAAGAAGACACTTGCCCTTCACACCTTTTGTTCAGATCAGATTCCCGTGGCAGGAAACAGGAAGTGATGCAAGAGAGTGGCGGCAAGCACAATGTTTTTTTTCTGTTGAGGAGTGATGGGGGGGGGAGGGGTCACATTTGCCCACGGAGACAGGGGGAGTGGCCTTCGAAGAGTATGATACGTGCAAACAAGCACTCAGGGCTGGAGTCTGAGGGGTGGGGGGCATTACTACTGATATTTTGGGGTGCTGAAAGATCACCAGTAAGTTTTAATCCTCCTCAGCCAGGACCTTTAGCCAAACACACGTGTAACACATGATTCGGCAGCTGCTTGCATAATTAACACTGGCAGGGTTCTGTTGCCGGGGCGACGGGAAAGCGGGGTTCTAGAGATCGGGCGGAACCGGGGGATCACAGTTCCAGGACAAGGAGGAAGAAGGTCTGGGGCTCGGTCAGCTCACCGGTAACCCTTTAAATACCACCGAGGGGGGCTGCCAGGAAATACTGACTCCGCTCTCGCTGTGCACGAAGCGGGGGCATGCGGGGGCGTGCGGGGGAACAGCTGCCTGAAACACACAGCGCAGGCTTGCATGAGCATGGGGGGGGCGCGCCAGGGGGAGGTGGGGGAGAGCCTCGCGGGCACGGCCGCACTCCTACACGGGCAGGTTGCTATAGAGACACACGCTGGAAATTCTGAAGTCTCTCGCGGTAACCGGAGCACCAATCAGAACGGCCGGTCCGTTCGCCTCGCGTGAATGTAAATGCGGCGGTAACGGGCGAAGGGCCAAACTGACGGGTCCCTAAAGCGAGCGGCACTCCAAAGATCGCCACGCTAATCAGTGACGTCACTGAAGGCAGCTGAAAAGCACAGAATAAAAACACAATGACACTTAAACATTAGCAGAGATCATCGTTATTTCACCTTGGAGCAGTCTGAACGTTTTAAGTCATGCGTTACAGTACAGTGTCAAAGTCAAAAGAAATGTTTAAACTTATTCATCTGGGTAGTAAGTGAACTTTTGCTCAGAGCAAAAACCGCAATTTAGCATTAGAACTTGTGGAAATTAAGAGCAACACAATAAAAACTATTAAGAATTTTTTCTGTTCCCCAAAAAGTCACTGATATCGAGTGGACTGAATAAGCCCACAGTGTGCAAACTGTCCTCTTTGCATTTGACACTAAAACTATCTAAATTATATTTAAAAAAAAAAAAATACAACCTTTGAGAGGGAGATTGCATTTAAAAAGGCGGTTCACCCATGGTCTTCCTCGGTGGGGTGAAATGATCAAGCTTGGGTACCACAAACCCGGGCGGGGGGGGGGGGTCTTACCATCTTTGAGGTTTTATATTCTTTTATTTGGTAAGTGACTTTAAATTAAAAACGCACATTAATAAGCTGAATGTCCCAGCAAACAGCTGCTTCGAAACCAGGGCTAAATATGCCAAAGGAGGAGGAAAATTTCGTAAACTAAATTTCCATTCCTTTTTTATAGCACAGAAATCAGAGGATCGACTAAATCAGGTTAAAAGGCCGACAATCAGAATCCGTGAAACATGAAACCCAAGATTAAACGGTTACCCTCTCCGGTGGGGAGCCCATTACCTGGTAGGCGTGGTCAGTGCGAATGTGGCAGAGCGTGGAGGGTGCTGATTGGCTGAGAGGGGTGGGGCAGGGCGGGCACCGCAGGGCGATGTGCGCTGGCTCAGAGTGGGGCAGCTCGGGCACCGGAAAGACAGGGGGGGCTGTGGCGGTGGTAGGAGAGGTGGGAGTCAAGTTGGACAGCCCCTCCGACAGCGTGTCCATGTTCACCTCGATCTCTGAGTAGTAAAAGTCCTCCTCGCCGTCGCTGTAGTCTGAGTCGCCGTTCCGCCTGGGGGCGGGGCAAGAAGACACCCTGTACTGAGAATTCTGGGAAGACTGCAGGTCAACACTAAGCACCTGTGTCTGACTCCATCAGTTGTTGGTTTGAACTGAGTCATTAAACTGATATTCTTACAATGGGACCCCCAGTGTATCTGAAAAGCTCAACTGCAAGAGAGCACCCCCCCCCCGAAGGGTGCATCTGGTGGTAACAAATTCCATGAGCTGTCCATTTCCGGTCACGTCATCCTTTGGCCAACAGGTGGCGTCAGTGTTCAGCTTCATTACTCAAAGTGCTCGCAGGAGGAAGGCAGAGATGGAGGCTAGTCGAAAACTTCGCAGGGAAACTCACCGCCACGCCTAGATTTTCCCTTTTAAATTAGGCTGCTTGGACGATTGGTAATGTTTGCCTCCCCAGACACCCGAAAGGCAGACAGTCTCACCCCAGGTGGACGGTGCGGATGTGCCTCTGTATTCCTGAAGAGGTGCTGAGGACCTTCTCACAATTCTTCCACAAACACTTGAACATCACCTTCATGGAATTCTGCAAGACAGAAATGAAAGTCGCAAACCTCCCGCTTACAATTGTCAGCCCTCTCCATGTGATTGCTGTGAATCAATTCTGGTTATGACCACTAGGTGGCACAGTGGTTGAGGCAATGGACCCATAACCTAATGGTTCCAAGGTCAGGAGCAGCCCGTGTATTGAGGCTTTCTAACTGGACACCTCCGACAAATCCTGCTCCTTAAACGGGATGAAACTAAGCTGTTTCAGATAAACAGATAGGTAATATGCCGTCAAAGAGCTAATTCAGTAGCAAACTGGACTGCTGTGAAATAAAACATTTCAACTGGTTAAACAAAAAAAAAATCTAAAGAATGCTGCCTTTCAGACAATTGCACCAAGAGGTCACGAGATTTAAAAACATTTAAAACAAAAGTTAATATATATGCAAATTATTAACCGTAGTTGAAGAGGCCCAGTAAAAAAAAAAACGCAGCTAAACGGAAAAGTCACAATGATAAGCCGCCATTCTCCGGAAGGTTCCGGAGCGAGGCCGCGCAGCGTGTCCGAGAGTTTAATTGGGCGTGTTTACTCAGGCCGGTGTGCTCGTTAACGATTAACGGCGCGCTCACCACGCACACGGAGCCTGGTGCTGATGCCATCACGCAAGACGGCAACCCTGCCCCCCCCCCCCCCCACCCCAGGCCCACCAATGGCTCAAAATAAGGATGGGGGGGGGGGGGGGGGGGATAGCACCCCTGTCGAAAATGTAGCCTGTGAAAATAGAAACCTGATACAAAGTCAGACCGGACAAAGTCCCACAGACAGACCCTGGCAGCACCACTTTCCGCTCTGTGGTGCTTGCGGTAAATCTCAAAACAAACAGCCTGTCATGACACAGAGCCTCTAGCTGCCCCCACCTCTCCCCGCCCCACCCTCTAAACACCCAGCACCTTCTCCCGTCCTGCCGACTCGTCGAGGGGACACCCACAGCTGCCAGACAACAGCCAATGGGCACACCCCCCTTTTGGTGAGAGGCCATCAAAAAAGTGCATCTGATTTTGGCACAGTTACAGGAAACAGCCAGCATCTCCGACGAGAAATTCGGTGGGCGTGGCCATATTGTTTTCCAGAACCGCTCAGTCAGTAAGAAGAAGAAAAAATCAACAGAACTGGTTTACCTGCTTCTAGTTTAACCCCGTCTGCGCCAGGCAGGGCCGCTCACTGCTGAAGGCTGTGCTCTGTGCCATCAGAGTACGGATGCGTCAGATAAGGCTCAGACATGGGGGCTCGTGTTTGTGCAGAGGGAGAAGCGCATCCATGGAGCTGCACCCAGGGCCCTGGATTCGACACTCTGGCCTCAGGACCAAAGACCCAAGATACAGGACCCAGGACTCACAACCCTAACCTTATGACTCAGAAAACAGAACCAATGACCCAAGACCTAAGCCCCAGAATCCAAGACACATAACTCAAACCCAGAACCAAAGGCCCAAGATCTAAGACCAAGAACCAAAGAACCTAGACCCAACACATAAAATCCAGGACACGGGAAGCGGGTCCTGGATTTTTCACATCTAACTGAAACTTGAATCTGCATTGCAATCAAGGCTCTGCATTAATGGACATGCAAATACACACATATGTCCTGGACACAGAAAACAGAATTTGTTTTTATTTTCTCTCTTTATTTCTGACAATCATGACCTCGACCATCCTAGGATGATTCGCTGGCTGCAACAAGGGTTTTTTAAACAAAAGATTATTTAGCTACAGGTTCTTGCCTCAGAATGAAAACAGAGCCATTTCACAATAAAATGATTATCGTAAAAGACAAGCAGGTCCATGTCTCCAATTGGTCAAATACCGTAAAATTATAATGCTATTAATACATAACGTATTATGAAATTAAATATTTTCTGTGGCTCGTACTTCTGAATTCATAATGAGGGGATTAAATTGGCTTTTAAAGTCACGCTGGAATGCAGAAATCAGCCCTAACGAGATTTTACCACGGCTGTTTTCGATTAATTTGCTCACATCTCACGGTGAGCTCCTTACACGTTCATTATCTGCGGTCACAAGACAAGGCCCCAAAACAGGTTCTGAGAAACACCAGTATTTATAGGAGGCCACAACTCGTCCATGGGTTCTGTGGTCGCGACACTCGCACAAAGAGCGCGGCTGTTTGCAAAGGGAGAGGCCTGTGGATGTGTGCACCAGACAGAAATTATACCTCGGCTAGGCTGGATGAGGACCATGACTGCTCCTATTTTGACTCCATGTACGCCAACCTGAGATTGTACACGTCTCTGTTTTTTTTTTTTGGGGGGGGGGGGCAGAGTTTGCCTTCTGCACATGACAGAAACCACAACTGCACGGCAAAATGTCAAAGGAGTGGGGATCTAGGGCACTGACACTCTGAGGTGACGAGGGTACGGAGTGAAGGGGGGGGGGGGCTGAGAATGCAGGGTCAGTCAGTCCTTGGGGCAATTGGGGGTTAAGCCCCAAGCTCAGCTCAAACTTAGCTCACTCTGCCTACCACAGGATTTGAACCAGCTACCTTCTTAACATGTGCACATGTCCTAACCCCGGAGACACACCCCTCCCCCGCACAGTGGGCTGGGGCCCCTTCCATTGGGATTGTCTACCCACTGCCCCTCCTACCTCCTTAACCTCCATCTCCCCGAACTCCACCCACCCCTGAACAGATATTTATTTGTTTTCATCTGCCAGGCCCAAATTGAAACAATACCATTTAATTACAGTCATTAACGAAAAGCAGACAATTCACAATTAACCTCTTGCCTTTCAGCGACAAGGAGAAGCTTGGAATATGTGAAAAAGGTGAATACTGCATCAACAAGAGCCATATATATGCCATAATATTACAGGCCAAGTTATTTATGAATAACTGAGTGCAATACAAAGCAAATATATCATATGCATAATCTTTAAATCTTTTATTTATTTTACACTGTGTTTGACTTGTGTCATGTGTGTAATTATGTATGCGTTAATGCAACTTTTGTTACAATTTATGCTACTAAATTTTGTTGCACTTATGTGACGAACTTGCCCAATGACACGTATGAGTCCTTCATCCAAGATATTTACTAAAAACAGAAAACGTGTCTGTTAAGTCCCAGAGCCAGTGCGAAGAAGAAGCGGTGCGTTCTACACCTCTTCTAGCACCTTCATTTCTACAGTCTCCTCGGTATCATAGCAACCACTTTTCAATAAGAAAGTTCAATGACCACAAGGTCACACCTCTAGATCACACCCAAGCTTACTGTACACCTCCCAGCAGCTAGATTCAAGGTGGCCTCAGTCACATCCCCGACAGTCACATCCCCGACAGTCACATCCCCGAATTGCCTGGGGTACCTTGCGTTTTCTGGGGATGGGGTCCTCAAATAAGAAGTGTGTGGTCTCAGACTCCTCCGTGTTGTCCTCCCCCTGAGAAGGCAGCAGGAAGCCCTTGCTGACGTCGTTGGACAGCGGTGGAGATGGCGTGGAGGGCACCGACTGGTCACTGGCGTCCCAACTCCAATTCCCACTGGTGGAACTGCTGTAGCTGGCAGAGAGACACTCCTTCCAGCCCCTGCTGGCAGGTTCCGGTACTGCAGCTAGAGGAGAGCAAAAGGCGACACGTGGGCGAGGGTGTCGGTGGAAGTTTGCATGTGTAAGGGTTAGGGTTAGGCTTAGGCTTAGGGTTAGGCTTAGGGTTAACTTTTATCTATACTAATTAGGATAAATTATTAAAAACTGCCAAAGTATTTCCCTGTGATGGATGGCTGGCTGGATAAATGCTGAATTGCAGTATTTATCTTACGCACATTCTAAAACATGAGAAATGGTACAACTAAACATATAAAATTAAAAACTATATTAGAAACATTTGAAGTTATAAATTAAGCATTTAACTGAACTCCACGTCCTATGATTAGGGGGGAGAACCCAGTGCCCCGTGGGGATAATATGCACACAGTGCAGAGACGGGATTTGACCCCATGTCATGTGAGATTCCTCCTGGTACTCAGCTCCTCGCCACAGTGCAGAGACGGGAGCTTCCACATTTTTTTTTAAATCACGATATAAATTAATCGAAGTAATACTGAACCTATCCAGAGATAAATCCCGTATCTGCCTAGGAAGATGGGTCTAGGGAGTGACAGCTGTGAAGAAAAGCCATGTTAGGTGAGCCGGTGGATTTGCATGTCAGAGACGGAGAATTTTGTTTTGGTTGGATATCATCCGGAAAAAAAAGTGAAAAACACTGCAGAGGGTGGTGTGGCACTCGGACGGACGAGGAAAGCCGAACGCGAGCTCAAGGCTAGCAGGAGCGCAGCTGTGAAACCGAGATCGCGGCATCACTTTATAAACTCAGCAGCTACAGGGAAACACCCACTGAAGAGAAGACGGCCAATCAGCCGGGAGGGGCGGGACTACCTGGGGTCCCAGGGGTGGTGTTGAGGACCATGGGGCTGCTTGACAGAGACGTGAGCACCGCGGCAGCCATCACCTCCTTGTCCGCATGACCCGCTGCCTTCCTGTAGGACGACAGGAACATGGTAAGGGCACGTGCGAAACAGAAGAAAGAGGGATGGAGAGAGGCGTGGGGAAAACAAGTGTCGGAGACAGGATGGTCGTCACCATCGACATCCACCCGAGCAGGTGGGATCCCTGCCCACAGGAGACAATCCTCACCGACGCCAACGAGGGCCGGGGCCAGACTTACGGCAGCCTCGGAAAGGCCCGGAAAGGCCCGGCTCGGTGATAAACAGGACGGCTGATATATTTATCCAGTCTTTTCTATTTGTTTGTTGCCAGTGATGGAAAATTCCAGAAACGTAATAAATAGTTCTGTCGGTCCCTAGTGCGCTCCCTCTCACTTCCTCCCTCAAGCAGCATGAAAACAGGCTGCGCTCTCCCACCCGGACCCTTCAGCCGGGGCGGGGGGGGGGGGGGGGCTGTTTGTTTATGGGGGAGGGGGGTTAAGATGGTGGCTGTAATAGCAAATTGTGATCCTACAGTACAAGGCTACTTGCTGGGGGTGATCAGGCCATCATAAGGGGAGGGAGGGAGGGGAAGGGGAAGGGAGAGGGAGAGAGAGAGAGAGAGAGAGAACATAGTGGCCAGCCTTGGATGCAGAGGGATTCTCCCACCATCTTGGATTAACCACTCAGTTCCATTTGATTCAATTCAAGTGCTGTAGTTGTGCTAAATGTATAAAGCATCAAGTGACCAATACATTTCCTTATATGTAAAGAAAATACTGCAATAACTAAGACTGACCCTTCTTCTGACCACTTGTGCAGGACCTGGGGGATGGGAGGGGCTCGGCAAGCGTGCACCCTGCACGGGACACCAGCTCATTGCAATTTAAAGATGCTGACCCTGCATAGCACAAGCGTGTACGGAACATGGGTGGATTACCCTGACTGTGTGTCTTTGGACTGCAACATGAGGAGAACACGCAAACTCCAAACACACAGAGCGGAGGTGGGATTCGAACACAGCCCTGGTGGCGTGAGTCAACAGCGCCACTCGCTGAGCCAGCCCCCATCCGTCCCTGATGAAGAAAACTACAGAGTTCCTCTTTTCCTGGTTCCATTTGGCATCTGGGGGAGAGGCGCACACACACACACACACACACACACACACACACACACAGATTAGGTATCTATATCGTTGTGGGGACTCTCCATTCATTTTTATGGGCAAAACCCTACTCCCAACAATGACAACCTTAACTCCAACCCAGCGATAACCATTACAGATCATTATAAAACTGAGGTTTCCCTTGCAGGGAACGGAAAAATGTCCCCACAAAAAAAAGTATCAGGTTTTTATCACATTGTGGGGACACGCACACACACTCCAGGGCCTACAGCACCCCACCCACGGCCCACACGGCACGGAGAGGTGAACCAGGAGGTCTCCACATTAAAGGGGAAGCACTGCTTTTTTAAAAAAAAAATAAAACACACAGCACCCGTGCCCAGCCATGTTACATAAGCGGACACCCGCCCCTCCCCCCACAAAGCCATAACAGCATCCTCGTCCTCCATATACGGAAGGGGGGGGGGGGTCACACAGACGGGTCCCGCAGCATTGGGAGTGAACGACCCTCTGTAGGTCCCGCCCGCCCACTGGCCCTCTCTCTTTTCTGCGCTGTCCCTTTAAGAGATACTCGCTGGAGCCGCTTCAGCCCCCGCCCCCAGACCGCTCCACTACACAACCAGACCAAACTGGTTTGGTCCACGCTGCAGAGCCAAGCCGAGCATTTGGCAGAGCTCAGCAGAGTCTAAACGCTGCCAAAACCCTTCTTTTTTATTTTTTACTGGGTCAACTTCCAAATATCACACAAAACAAGGGCCGGCCCAGCAGCCGACTGCGCAGCGGATAAATAAAATATAAATAATTTTAAAATGCCAACGCCACAGTGTACTGTTCTGTGAAAGCAACCCCCCCTACCCAGCCCCCCGGCGCCGTGCCTGCGTCCCACTCCGGGTTTCACACACACACACACAGCCTCTAATATCTCGTGCGTTTTTAAAACTTTTTCCTTGTGGGGGAGGAAAAAAAAGCAGCAACCTGAGACATGCAGCCTGCGGAGGGAACCGGGACGGAGCACGTGGGGGGGACGGCGGCCGGGCGCACCGCCGAGAGAGAGGCTGACAAAAAAAGGATTAAGAAAATTAAAAAACCAAAAGATGACGTGTGGACGCCCTGGAGGTCCTTGGCCGGAACGCCTGACAGGGTGTCACATCGCCCCGTGTTCTGGAGTCAGCCACGCATGCGTAACCGAGGCATCGTTTCCGTGCCAACTGCCCGCGGAACTCGCACGGCGACGGAACCCAACTTAAAGGCCTTCGCTGTAAATCAAACTCTGTTAAAACAGCTCGCGGGCGATTCGATGATGCTGACACGTCCCCCGAGAGTCCACTAGCGCCCCCAGCCTGCTTTTCTTTATCTAAGTGAAGCCAAGCCCCCACCCACTCACTCCAGCCAGCCCCCCACAGATCCTCCAACACTGAGCTGCTGCAACTGCCAGCAACTCCCCTGAGGTCTCAGCACCCCCCCCAGGCTAAATGATAGTCTACGCCGTGTGTGCGTGCACGCCTGCAGAGATTTCCAGTACTCATTCACTTAGCATGCTTTTACTTTTGCCATTGTTTGCTGCATTCATTCTAAAGTTAATCATAATGCACATTTTATGCCCCATTCCTTCAAACACCCATTCTTCACTTCCTGCTAATGTGTGTTTTTTTTAACCTCTTTCAAGGACTCAATCTTCAGTTTCACTCAGTGCCTATTTACAGTCTCACTCTGTAGAGTACTCATTGTATACCATTGTTTTGAGTACTCATCCTTCAGTTTCTCTAAATGTGTAAATACTGCTCCAGTTACACTAAGTGTATATTTTATGCAGTATTCATTCTTCAAGTTCTCCCAATATGCATGTACCATTTAACTTTTTCAGAGACTTCATTGTGAGCAAATCTTTTCAGTGCTCATTCTTCAGTGTCACTGTGTGTGTTTACTGTTTCACTCTGTGGAGTACTCATGCCATTCTTTTGAGCACTCATTCTTCAGTTTTTCAAAATGCGCATATACTACCCCATTCCTTTGAGTACTCAATCTTCTTTTGCACTCGGCATGCATTTATCGCATAATCCTGTGCAGTACTCATTATTCAGGTTCTTACTGTCTATTTGCAGGGAACTCATTCTACCCAGTTCTTCTGGGTACTCATTCTTCAGTGTCACAGCATGTCTTTACTGTCTCGCTGTGTGGAGTACTCATTCCATGCCATTCTTCCGAGTACTCGTTCTGTGAAATTACCGCCGTCTACACACCATGCCGTGTGATGGACGCCCCCCCTTTCTGTCTTAATGGTGGGAGCTCTTGCTGAGACTCGTCCTCCCCTTTTAAAGCCAACAGCGCAGATCCGCTCTGTCCGCGTGGGCAGGGATACGCTTGGCTCGGGCTGGAACACAGGAAATCGGCTTCGATGAAAACGGACAAAACAAAAGGCCAGAAAAAAAGAAAAACGGTGTAGGCTGAGAGCCGCAGGACGCTGTGGACTGCTGCGAGATGTTTGAGCGGCTGCAGGGAGAGACACACACCAGCACGACCCTGAGGGGGTGTGTGTGTGTGGGGGGGGGCAGGGGGCGGTCTGAAGTGCAGGCCTGGATGCTTTCTCCCATGCTGGGGATCACTAGGGCTTCAGACGACCAACACGGGGATTGAATCAACATCCACGCGGTTCCCCTCACGCGAACACACCCGTCAGTCCTGTTCCTGGAAACGCACATGAAAAGCCAGGCCCATTCGGACATTTCTGTCTACTCGGTGTACGAGAAAAAGCTTCCCTCGGCAAAAAGCCCCGCGTGGCATTCCAGCGATTTCCGGATCCCACTCTGGCCGCAAAGCCTCGGCGATTAAACCGATGCTTAACCCTGGATTCGCAGGGCCGGGAATGCACTTTCCCCGGATTGAGTGCTCTGGTCCACCCTCTAGAGTCCGGATCCAGTTAAGCGAGGCGGCCTGGCCTGGCAGAGGAAGCGAAGGGCAGGAGACGGGCAGCCGCCAGGGTGCGAGCTCGGGCAGGCAGAGAGGAGCACTGCCACTGCAGCACCCCGCCCCCCCGCCCCGCGGCTGTGAGTGTCAGGCGATAGCCAGCTTAAGTAAACAAGCCAGCCGGCGCGAGATAGGCCTCCTGAGGCGTGGGTTGATTAAGCAGCTGCGCTCCCATTGGCTGGAGTGCTGCCAGTGGCCCGCGAGCAGGCAGCCGGGTAACAGGCGGGCAGGCCCTGGCGCTCTGGCTGCCGCCCGAGCCCCCACAGGACGGCAATGTGCCAGCTCCCCCGCGGGGGCGGGGGGGGACAAAAACAAGGCCGAAAAAAAGGAAAAAAAAAACAAAATCCGAAATGGGCGGCGACAAACTGGCCAATGGGAGCCGAGCACTGCCACCTACCGCAGGTGTGTATGTCTGAGCGCAGACACGGACTGCGTCGTGTCACCTACCCCCCACCCCGTCCCCCCTCCAGCTATTTCTCTAAAAGTGGCCGGAGAGCCTCCTAAATTCAGCAATAACTTTATTCTGCAGCCCAAAAAGACCAAACAAACATCATGTGCACGAAAATCAGGCATGCCGGGCAAACTTATAACAGCTGCTAACGCATGCCGATGTTGTTCTCAGAGAAATAAAAAGAGGAATGAAAGCAGAGAGAATGATCAAAAGAGAGAGAGAGGGTGGGGGCTAAAGGAGAGGCTTGGGACCGCTATGAGGCCCCCATTAAGCTCAGCTTGGCTGGCAGAGAAAGGAGGATCAGAGTTAAGCAAGCAGGACAACCCAAGAGCTCCACTGACTGCCACACCCATTTTTGACCCGCCCACTTTTGGCTCCTCCCATTTCCCCAGAGACAAAGGCGGAGCTTCTTTGCAAACGAGAGCCCTCATTGGACCACAGGCAACTGCGATGGTCCACTAAACATCAGCATTGCTTCTATTAAGGAAGTGTGTTGTCTGACCCACATCTGCA